CACGTGGAAGTATGGCAGCCTCGGACTTCTTATTATACATGGTTATAACTAGCTAAAGGGTTTTTTTTTCCAAGACCTACCAAGGACTACAGCCCTGTTTTGGGGAAAGTGACTGAATACAGTCAGAGTAACCTGAATCACCACTGCCAAATCACCAAAGTGCCAATCACCAAACCTGAATCACCACTGCCAAATCACCAAAGTGCCAATACAGTCAGAGTAACCTGAATCGCCGCTGACCAGACCTGAAACCCTAGAAGGATAATACAGAACACAAAACCGACCAAATTTAAACTATCTTTGTTACTTAAATGGTTTTGCTTTCTCTACCAAATTTGTTCATTCAATTTTTCTAGCTCCTGAAGCATGTCATGTTGTGGTTTTTTTTTAATTAAAAAGCATCATCAACCCTACAACAGAAACCAAAGATTACAAAAATACAACTTTTAATCACTGAAATTAAACACAGAGAATTCAACTTACTGCATTTCAAATCCTTGGCAGTTGTTTATAAAGAGCTTTTGAACATAAGGAATCAAGAGATAAATCATATGTAAATTGTAGATGGCTGAGACCAAAAATATATCCACAGAAATGGCCATACTCCCAAGGCCCTCATCAGTTTTTCTCTTTTCTATATGTAAAAGATCATTTATCTGACAATTAAAATAATATATTTACTGTACGGGGATATACCCAACTATAAAAATATTGCAAGGTCAAGAAATCCACTCCTTATTTTCAATATGAAACAAAAATTGGAGAAATCATTTAAGTTGAATTGCCAATACTAATCTCGAAAAACACATAACTGGCATTATGACTGCAGGTGCTGTTCAGCTCATGTTGATTTCTACCATACTGAAGATCATGACATCATTTTTTTTCTTCTCTAGCACCCCTGTTTTTCCCCACTATGCACTTCTATTTTCTCAAGCTGAACACACGTTTCAGCCCTGCTGTCATTAATGCAGATGCAATTTTCATTGTTACAGGGTTTTGCATTAGAAATGCTTTAGCTAGTTGTTAAATGCATATTTATTTTAGCATGTCAAAAGCAGAGAAGGTGGCAGCTCAGCACTCAAGGTCCAAGAGCGAACCCCTAACCCCTGCTGAAAAGCACTGAGTGCTCTTAGATTGACCCAGCCCTCAGCACTCCCTAAAACCAGGCTTTTACACTGGGAAAAAAGTCTCTACCTATAAGAGGCTGTTTCTGAGGTTACCTAGACTACAGGAGCACTCTGAAACTGCTGAACAACACACAGAAATGAGCCAGTCATACTGCTCAGCAGTAGCTGAACATCTTGACATAGCATCTTGGGGTGTACAGGATAACTTTAATTAAAATATGGATTTAAAATGAAAAAAAAAAAACAACAAACCAAAACCAAAGTACTAGTTTATAGGCTCTGACTAGGTGCAAGTCATGTTTATTATCACAACTGACCTTAACAAAAAACAATTAGACCACCTGCAGAACAGAGGGCACTCAAGCCTGCACAACCAACTACTGATGAACTCACAGATGCAACAAGGCTTATTTTAACCACAGATTTAATTGTTACACTCAAAAGCTGTTCTTCAGGACATAGCTAATAAAGGTACTACAGCTGAGATGTTCAGATGTGGTTGCTTAAACTGCACATTCAAACCCTCATGCTGTATCTAGGCAGCATGGATTTGTTAGCATTACTAGCTGATAATCTCCTGTTCCACAACAATAATTTTTATCAGTAAAACATTATCCCTTCTATAGCATCAAATAAATATATCATTCACAGGTACATTCGATTTATATTTCTGCTGGCATATGAATTGATTTCAGGGCCTCCAAGGCACAAACCATCTCACAGACATCTTAAAAACAAAAGGAGGTGCTGAATATGAAAGCTTGAAAGCTGTGGTTTATTCAGATACCATATGTATAAATATACCACATAATATTTCATATATATATAAATATACCACATATAATATACCATATATATAAATATACCATATAAATATATTCATATTTATTCACTACACCCAGTGCTTCTAGAAAACAGGGTTCCTTGTATTCAGGTGTCTGAAAGAGGTGGACATACCAATACAGTTATCCAGATGTGCAGACTCTCACCACTGAACTTTTTAGCAACTGCACCAAAATTTTACTTAAGAGACACTTAGCTCTTCCATTAATTGGCCTTTCACCCCGTGCATTTTAGAGGAGGCCAGATTTTAAGCCTCCATAACACACTACAGTATCACTGAGGCTGAAAGTGGTAAGCTAATTTACACACACCTTCTGTCTCTGGGCATTCATGAGAGGGGCCCTAAAGTACAGATTATTTACGATGGTGGTGTCTCACAAGACATCTAGCAAATCCAATTTGGGTCCATGATGAGCAGTGAAAAGGTGTGATAAGAATAATACACAAAAGCAACTTGTAGGAACATTAACAGTCTACAGTATCTTGCAGAAATTAACTTGAGAGATTAACTTGAGAGATAACCATTGCTTTTATGCCACTAAGCATCTCAGTTTAGGCATTACCTATTTCCGTGTATAAAGTATTAATGCAGCTGGTATTCATCACATAAAACACAATCCCCACTGCGGGTCATGAGGATGTTAATAAGACTGATAGCAGAGCATCTTTAAAAGTAGTTATGAGCACGGTGCACAGGCCAATAATTCTCTTCTGTTCTCACATAGTCCTTAATGAAGATCATCTCAATGAACCACACCACCAGAGAGGATTTAAAAAAAAAAAAAAAAGACATATGTAGAAAGAAAAAGAAAGCTGAAGAAAATAGTTAAATTAGAGAAGTGAGCCTCTGGGGGTTAAATACCACTGTGGCAACAGGAACAGAAAGGGTTGCCCAGTTCAGAAAGAAACCACAAGATTCCTGTGACAGCAGAGTAACAGAGAGAACCATAGCATCAGCTGTACGCAGTGACCCTCATTTCCTTCAGCAGAAGGGGAGCCCAATAAATCCTCTGCTATAGCTCATCAAAGGTTAATTATGCAAATACCCATGTGAAACATGTCCTGTGCAGACCTGGTAAGCCCCATGGCCCCACTGGGAGAGATCCCCAGAGCTTCTGCCTTCCCCTCACCACCCAAAGGGCTTCACAGCAGAGACAGCTCCAAGGTATTCATCTTTTCTTCCCAAGGCATAGTGAGCCACAGGAAGGCTTGTGCGTCACAGCACCTTCTTCTTGAAGCCTGTCCCTATCCCCAAGCTACTGGATGGCGTCCAGAGGGGGACAGGGGAAATGTAGTGAAGGCTTCTGCCCCTTCTGCCTCAGGGACAGGAAGGAGATCTATACCCACTTTGGGGAGGGCAAACCTCTCTTCACAGAGAGGCTTTCCTGCTATGAGATTTTAACAAAAATACTTTTCCTGAAAAAATGTGTCACCTGAGAAAAGGCAGATTCCCAAAATTCACCAAAATTACATGAAAATATTTATTCTTTGTCGCTTGTGACAAAGGAAAATAATAAACCAACCCCAGAGAACCAGGAAGAAAACCACATAATTCACTGTAAACTGTTGCACTAGTAACCTTAGCAAGTGTAAGACATATTTGTACAGGGAACTTCTGAGAGAACTAAAGCACCCAGCTTTGTGACTCTTCCAATGCACAGAATTAGGATGGAAGATACACGGAATAGGGGACAGCGAGAATAAGGGAAAGCATAGAAAAGGAAAGGGCAGCACTAGTCCCAGCTTTGGCACACAAAACTGACTGCTGATAAAACCTGCAACTGTGCTGCTCCTCTACTTCTGCAGAACAGGGGCATCCCTCATCAACTCAGAGCTGAAGGAACAAGAGATGGGCACAGTGAGCTCACTGATGTTACTGAGAAGGACCATATGAAAATGGTTAGACACACACAAAATTGCCTTTGAATACTCCAGTCATCAAGAGAACCTCAAATTGGTAGAAATGATGCTTTCTTCCTCCCCATTATGGAGTTCCTTAAAAATATATTCTTCTTAGAAATACCTCCAAACGGAAGAGATTCTTGGACAGCCACAGCTATCTTCAGAAAGGCAGAGCCTGACTTTAGGAAGTAGACTTCAGGAAGGGAACAAGACAAAACAGCCATTGCACTAATGAAACAGCACAATACAGCACAGATCAGATTTGGTTTCAGCCAACCACCTCCTGCTCAAGTCAGTGCTCAGGCAGCAACAGTGCTGAAAGGCCTACCTGGCCCCTACTGCACCTCCAAATAGAGGGTGACATTTTTTGGCATAAGCTCAAACCTGGATCCAAATCATTCTTGAAAAAACACAGTTATGCACATACAGTTAGGTACCTGTGCCTCGGAAAAATATGAAATGGATGCTCAGTGAGTGTGACTTTTTCTGAAGCACAGCAATGTCTGTTTAAAAACCTAACTCAGTTGGAATCACCAAGACGATTTTTGGAATAAGGCAGCTTATAGCCATTACCTACTTCTCAGTATATTAAGCATCAACACATTGAATAGCAATACCCATAATTGTGCCTCAGGCTGAAATCTAGAACTTAGCTGTGATTTAAACAATTTGCTCATGCAAACAGAGTATTTCTGTACCAGCCAAGCCGGATTCTGTGAGCAAAGACAACTTATAAAAGCACAAATGCACCTACAAACACAGTATGGAAGGGAGAAGAACCGAAATAGCGCATCTTCGATGTCTATTCGCAGCCTGCCTTCGAAAGAAGGAGAGACGCTGTCTGCCCCCTCCCTGTCGTGTAAGCACTCCCGGGCAGCTGCCGGGCCCGGCTCAGCGCTAACAGGTGACCTGCCCGGAGCTGGCCCGCCTGCCTCTGATCCGGCGGCGCCTCCAATTCAAGCTGCTTTTTTCTCCCTTTTCCCCTTGTATTTTCCTTTCTCCCCCGACCCCTCCTCACGCGGCGCGACGCAAGTTTGGAGCGGAGAAGAACCCGCCGCGCTCCGCCGCTTGCCCCGAGAACACCGAACCCGACCCAACCCAACCCGACCCGACCCTTCCCCGCACCTGCGCGGCCATGAAGGAGAGGTCCATGGTGCTGGAGCTGCCGGACGAACTGGCGGAGGTGCTGAGGCTGCCGCTGCCGCTGCTGCCGGGGGCGGGCGGAGCGCGGGGGCGCGGCGCAGACACCGCCTCCCCCAGCAGCGGCGGGCGCGGCCGCGGCAGCAGGACCGACACCAGCACCAGTTCCAGCTCAGGCGGTGCCTGGCTCGGCTCGACTCGACTCGACTCGACTCGATCGACCCGGCAGGCTGCTCCGCCAGGGGGCGGAGGCAACGACGGCGACCCGGCCCCAGCGCTGGGTTGGGCCTGGATCCGCCCCGCGGCGGGGGGGCTGAGACGGAGACGCCTACGGTCCCGTAGACGCCCTTCCTCCAGTGCGCATCGGCTTCAGCGGCCTGAGGTCACCCTTGGTTTTTAGTTTCCCGGGGCAGGCAGGGTCCGCTCCCTGCTTTGTGCTTGGTATCTCACCAGCAGTAGGCAAGCCTGGCTACGCGGGCAGGAGGAGGAGGAGGAGGTGGTGGTAGCTGGGTCATGCAGGAGTGATGGTAGGTGAGTGGGGAAGAGCCAAGTGATTTATCCTTAACGTACTAAGGAGCAGGTGCAGCCCAGCTTTCGCTGTATTTGCAGGTCTTCTGCATCATGCAAGCCTGAGATACGGACCTGGCTGCAATGCTTCTCTGGTCCAGCTTGCAAATCTGCCGGCTATTTTCTGAAATACTCGACCAGCTCTTCTCACCACAGCTGCAAAGAGCTTCTGGCAGCTTGTTCTCACGCCTTTTCATGGCTTAGCTGCTACAACTTTATTTTCAATTCTCTCTCCTTCTTGTTCCCAGAATTTGCCATTCAACAGTTTATAGTAAACGCATTTTGTCCTTTTTTTTTTTTTTTTTGTATGCTTTCCCCTGTATCTCATATATACTGCTACCACTTCACAAGAAAATTCAGCAAATTCATTTCCTGCATGGCTCTGAAAAGCCTTTGACACCAACTGGAAAAGCAGGATAATAAAAATTCCTATGTATTGAATGCTCTTTTTTCCCTGTGATCACCCTTCTGCTGTGCACCTGTTGGTTTAATTTCTAAGGCTGAACTATTTGGCCATATTTTTACTGTTTCAGCCCATTACAGGGGCCTGAACAAGGGCCAGTGGGAATACAATTGCATGATGATAGCAGATGTACCTGGAGAACTAGGGTTTTAAACTCCGGAGTAAAAAAGAGGTGCATTATCCTGTATGCTGCTTCATCAGTATAATGTTGCACTGTTGCAGCAGTGGTGGTGAAAAGCAAATCAGCTGTTTTAAATCAGTTCTTTAGTTGAGTGACTATTAGTGGGCTTGCCAAAAATGCTTTTATGTTAAGAGGCCCATTAAGTAAAACAAGTAAATTCCAAAAGTGGTGGTGTCATTTGAAGATTTTTAAATTCAGTTGTGTAAATAATGGACCTGTCTCTTCATGGACTCTCTCCAGAATTTTGAAGGGGTATTGATGTGTATGTCAGAAACCATAAAGTAACTTCAAAGCGATGTTAATCTTTTATCATCCAGATAAATTTTACATGTACTGAGTAGACCTCTCTAGAGGGAGAATGTAGCTTGGTCAGTCACTGCATCTGCAGCAACAGCTGCAGTAATGATCATTTCATGAGAATAACAAAATAATCAAGGCTTCAAAACCCCAGTGACTTCCAAACTTGTTTAACCCTGTGGAGCATGAGAATTGTAGAGAACAGAGCTGGAAAGACCTCAGGAAATAATCTAGTCCATGCGTTTGCTTAAACCACAACCAGTTACTCTTGTGACCCTCCAAACAGGGGGTTTTGACCTTTACCCAGTCTCTTCTGCAGAATGTCCAGTGAGGAAATGCATAGCATTATTCTGCTGGCCATTTCCCAAGGCTGTGTCCACCAGGTACATGCAGAAGAGATTATTTTCTTTGTGGCTACCACTTGCCTTCTGAGAACTGCTCTTGGATACTGTGTTTGACTTTTTTCCCAGTCTTACAGTATTTTGTCCATCCCCTGTACACTCTCAAGAAGGACTGCTAATGATAACAAGATTATTCAGTCAGGTTTCCAGGTATTTTACTGTGATGTTCAACCACTAATAGTTTCCAAGTGGTTCCCAGCTGACATCTTTCTTGCAGGTAACAATACAGACACTTGCTCATACGACCTTTTAGTGAGCAATGGAGCATCGTCACTTTGACTTTCTTGGCATCAAATTTTATTAATTTTGCCTTTCCACTGAGAAATAGATCAGCAGTTTTATTGATCTATTCATATACTTCTGGAAATTGTTCCTTTTTATCTTTGGTGTCTCAAAAATTGATTTCCTCCTATTTGTCTCATGTAGTTGCTCACTTCAGGAATAGTCTGTGGACCACTTATTGGAGAAAAAAAATAAATGCGTACTGCTCCAGTTTCAAAGTCTATTTTCACACTGACTTCTGGAGCAAGTTTCTGTAGAAAAATTGGATTTTGGATTTAGCAGAAGCACCGTTCAACACAGGGGACAGTGAACTCAGCTACTTTCAGTTTCTGTGGAAAAAGTATATAGCTTTGTTCCATATGTGATTCAGAGTTTGAATTGGGATCTACTAGCTTTCTTGCCAGCCGTATGGTATGGCTTTCTCATCAAAATATCTAGATCACTTAAAAAGATTATGTCATAATTTGCTATTGCTATGGACAGATGTTGTAGCACCCAGCTGAAACTGCAAACTGTTATATAACGTTATTCTTAAAAACAAGCTATGATAGCCTAAGATGCTTTTTAATTAGCTTTAAAGCTGCTTGCTGAAAAGACCACATTTTTCAGTACAGTGGAACACAACTCAATTAGATAATAGTTTGGTTTGTCAGTTTTCCTGTGGTATAATAGGAAATCCTTTGTTGCATTGCATGTGTGCACAAGCTCTTCCTTTGCTTCCCAAAACAGACCTAACAAAACATGACAATTGAGTCTTGCTGCCAAAAAGGATTTTAAATGGGTTTGTATCTGTACAGTCCTATTACCATATGTTGTATTTAGATACCTTAGGCAATGCAGTACCAATTTTTAGCTTTGCATACTTGATATCACATTTAAATCTTACATTTATGCAAAGGGGGACTAACTTCCCACTTTGGGGAGATATAGTAATACTGGCTTCTTGCTACATTTTAATGTATTTAAATGCTATTCCCTTTGAGCCCAAGTTTTAACCTACTGTTGCCTCATTGCAGCAGGTTGCAGTCATACAGGACAATTAGCTCCCTTAATGAAGGATCAGCCACAGTGACATGTGGTATCCTGTCTGGAGACAGTGCATTATCTCTGATGGGTTCCTGCTGTTAAGTGTATCATAAAGGAGGACAAAGATGCTGATTTTTTCAAGTGAAGCCTGGGTGGCCTGAATTAGCAAAAGGGAATTGATTGAGAAGCATTTGACTTCTTTGTTTTTTTTTCTGTTTCTTCTTTCATTTAGGAGCTGAACACTGATTTTGTTTGCACTTTGTCTTTCAACAAAAAATGTTGACACCTGCAACTTAACACAGTGTGGCCCTTAAATTTCAAGCAGCTGATTTGCCTGAGTGGAATCCAAATGCCCCAACTTGCTTCCCAGGCCTCCTGGGCAGTGCTTGGACAGTTACTCAGGGAGTCACTGTCAAACTGGGAATGGAGATGGTTTGAACCGGCCATCATCAATAAACAGCAGACACAGATATGTGCTTAAACAGATACTGCTTTCCAAGCCACAAGTGCTTGAGTCCGTGTTGCAGACTGACACCTCTTCTGGCTCCAGATCCAGTACCCCCTCCTGAGACAGAAGACACAACTTTTCTTTCATGAAGATAACAGGCAAGCACTGTTACCCTTTATAATATATGGTAAGGGGCCAGGTGTTTACAATAATAGGATAAAGGATAAATCCAGAAGAGGGAAACCTCCAGTTGAGTGATCTGCCACACTTGAGATAGACTAAGCAGATCCTTGTTCCCTGGAAGTGTATCTTGTATGATAAACTATGACTGAGAAGGAGATTTGCTCCTCAAACCATATTGAAGGTAGGTGTCTCTGCAGAAGGGCAGATAAGTCACTATGTTAGGAAGAAAGAATATGGATTTATCTGTCTGTAGCCTAATGTTCCAGGCACTCTTGTGCAAGGAAAGAAGCCTGGAGTCCACAGCCCACTTGTAGGAGAGTTGGCCGTTATGGTAAGTGGTCTGGGGATAAGAAGCAATGCAGGAGGCTCAGGCACTGGCTGATCAGTCAGATATCTGTACCTAATGCACTGTAAATTCATACTTTATTGTTACAATAACAAATGAGATTACAGTAACAAGCTTCCATTTTTACACTATAATCTTTGTAAACTGCCACGTCAATATATTTCATCATTCAGAACTGATCAGAATAAGGGATTTTTTTTGTTGTTGTTGTTGTTGTTTTGTTTTGTTTTCCTTCTACAGTGGAATGAATCTCGTGACATCAGCAATGGAAGCCTAGAGGTCAGATCTACACCTACAACTCTCTACTGTCTGGCAAGCAAAAAGTCAAGCAGCCTTGTAAGTCAAGGCTGCAGTATCCCCTCTGACCTTTCAATGGGTTGTAGCAGATTTGGTGTGGGTTACATCCCTTTTCAGCTTCCAGTATCAGCATCTGTTACATGCTGAAGGGTTTGTTCATACGTAACATGATAAAATGAGTTAGTGCCAAGTAATTTAAAGGAAAATTAAGTTTTCAACTTTCTATGCAACTCCTGAATCCCCACAGTTGCTCACACAAGAATAATAAGAATCAGATGTTGCCTTCAAATTACCTCTGGGCAAAATATTCCTCTCAAAACAGTTTTAGGTTTAAAACTCTCCTGAAATATGTGCAATTAGCACACAGATGAGCTGCAATAGTGCTCAAATTCTTAACATTTCAGGCCTTCAGCTTCATGTAGAATTTAATTCTAATGTGCAAGAATGCTTCTGAAGTTCAAGAAGCTTCTTCCTGTACTGCTGGCACTGCTGCTTTAGAAGTAAACCCAAATTTCTTTGACACAGAGGACAAATGCAGAAGTAACTGAATGCAGAGACAAGAAAAACATTGCCTTCTACTTCACTCCTAGTCACCACCAAGGGAAGGACAAGCGCTCAGCCCTCTGGGAGGAAGCATCAGCACTCTCCAGGGAAGCCCTGCTAGCTC